ATTTGGTTTTTTTTCCTTTTCCTTTTTTTGAGACAGAATCTCACTCCATCAGCTAGGCTGGAGTGCAGTGGTACAGTCTTGGCTCACTGCAACCTTCGTCTCCCAGGCTCAAGCAATTCTCCTGCCTCAGCCTCCTGAGTAGCTGGGATTACAGGTGTGTGCCACCACGCCCGGCTAATTTTTTTTTTTTTTTTTTTTTTTTGAGACAGAGTCTCGCTCCATCGCCTGGGCTGAAGTACAGTGGTGCAACCTCAGCTCACTGCAAGCTCCGCTTCCCGGGTTCACGCCATTCTCCTGCCTCAGCCTCCCAAGTAGCTGGGACTTACAGGCGCTTGCCACTGCGCCTGGCTAATTTTTATTTATTTATTTATTTTTTAGTAGAGATGGGGTTTCACCATGTTGGCCAGGCTGGTCTCAAACTCCTGACCTCAGGTAATCTGCCCGCCTCAGTCTCCCAAAGTGTTGGGATTACAGGCGTGAGCCACCATGCCCGGCCCAATTCAGTTTAACTCCTAATGAGAGCCGCTGCCTTCCAAGTGCAGGAACCGTAAGCTCCACTCGGCATGCACTGTGGCCTTGGATTCCCCTCCACAACCCAAGGAGGCAGCTCTGGTTAGAGTCCTGCCCAGCTGAGAAGGAAACCAAGGTCCCGGAAGAGAACTGATTAGCATAAGGACACAGAACACGTGTGTGAGAAGCGGGACCAGACTCAGGCCTACAAGACTAGCGCTCCTCCCACCATGCTGCTTAGGATCTAGTGGGGTCTAGCGGGGTGATGGTGCAGCACTGGGCTCAAGGATAAAGGGAGAAAACAGAACTGATTAAGTGGGAGTCCTCAGCTCTGAGAATAATTCACTGTGCAGCCCCAGCCAAGTCACTCTGCCCCGTGTACTCCAGTTTCTGCCTAGTCAAGGATAATAACAGGTATTGTCAATAACAAGAACAGCTAACACCTGCTCACACTCTTCTAAGCCCTTTATATGTATCACCTCCCTCAATCCTGCAGGGGAAGGTGGCGTTTATTAATTAGGGGAAGAGTGAGGCAGATCATTTGAGAGAGGGACTAGCATGGCTAGCTATGTGGCTGTGGAGCATGATGGCTTCAAGAAAGGAGAAGCTGCCAGTGAGCCAGGAACACAGTGGGGGGATGGGGGAGGGGAGGGAAGCGGGGAGAGATGAGCAAGTGCCAGCCTCGCAGGGCTGCAGAAGCCGTGGGGTGGGGAGCATGATCGTTGTCCTGACATAGGTGAGGAGTCTGTTAGCTGCCCCTGTCTTACACCCCTTCCTTATACATTGTACCTTCTCCCACTCAGTCTGTTTTTTGTCTTTCTCCTTTTATGCCATGAGTTTCTTAACAGTAGGGACTGGGTTTTATTTATGTCTATCTGGTGCATAGCACAGAATCAGATATATATGGGTACCCAATGAATTATTGTTAGTTAGATATTTAATACACTCAATACTTAATATTAACATGTTCAATGTTTAATAGCTATATATATTTAAGTTCTATGTTGACATTAGTACCTGTATCAGTCCATTTTCACACTGCTATAAAGAACTGCCTAAGACTGAGTCATTTATAAAGGAAGAAGGTTTAATTGGCTCACAGTTCAGCTGGGGAGGCCTCAGGAAGTTTACAATCATGGTGGAAGGGGAAGCAAGGCACCGTCTTCACAAGGCGGCAGGAAGGAGAAGCGCCGAGCGAAGCGGGAAGAGCTCTTTATAAAACCATCAGATCTCATGAGAACTCACTCACTATCATGAGAACAGCTTGGGGAAAACCACCCCCATGATTCAATTACCTCCTCCTGGTCTCTCCCTTGACACATGGGGATTGTGGAGATTACAATTCAAGATGAGATTTGGGTGGGGACAGAAAGCCTAACCATATCGGTACCTATAATGTAACTTGCATTATGCAAGCATTTCTGCTACTAAATGATATATGCATTTCTGTAAATCCTTGCATTCTGAAAAATTCAAAAATCACAGAGATTTGGGAGACAATAAGGGTGTAGCGCACGACTCAGTTCATGCAACTTTAAAACAAATCACAATCCTAGTGATGATTATAGCACAGGTAAAATGACGTGCTAAATTTTGAATTAAAAATACATTGGTAACTTTAGGACCTGAGTAACCATAGGGCTATATTTTACAAACCAAAAGGGGAACTTAAAGGCAAGTGGCTAGAGAAGGTTTGAGGCAACCGAGTTATGGAGGCAGGAGCGGACAGATCTTCATCGGAAGTTACAGGTACAAGAGCAGTTGCAGGCTTTCCTAAAATATATCAGAGAGGGCCGGACACGGTGGCTCATGCCTGTAATTCCAGTACTTTGGGAGGCTGAGGCAAGCGGATCATGAAGTCGGAGATCGAGACCATCCTGGTCAACATGGTGAAACCCCATCTCTCTAAAAATACAAAAATTAGCCGGGCATGGCAGTGCATGCTTGTAGTACTAGCTACTCGGGAGGCTGAGGCAGGAGAATTGCTTGAACCTGGGAGGCGGAGGTTGCAGTAAGCCAAGATCGCGCCACTGCACTACAGCCTGGAGACAGAGCGAGACTTCATCTAAAAAAAAAAACAAAAAACTATCAGACAGGAGTGGTCTAACATGGCCTTTGCACAAATATAAGGGAGAAGTGAGCAGTAAACTCTTCTAAGACAGCACATGGCCACACTGAGCCAAGAGGAAGAACATGGAGTGAGCGGGTGTCATGGATAGCATGGAGTCATCTATGGCTTACTACACTCAGCCGTGTCAGGGATCTTTGCATCCAGATGCTGTTACTTGGTGATGCAAAACATGAATGTGCTGGGAACATTTGCCTAAGAGCTAGTACTACTTCCACATTTTATGGACATCATTCCACTGTGTATCTTAACTTAGCTGAACTGTCTCATGGAAGCAAGTGCAATAGAACGAATGATGTCTAATATAACACATGACTCATTAAGTCAGTAATGCCAGCTGTCTAGTTTACATTGAAAAAAGTACTGGTCCTGCACCCTGCATGGGTTGTGGACTGTTTTCCTCTCGGTCTGTGAATCTATTTAGTAATTCACCTTACAAGCAGAGCATGGAGCAAGAGCATATGGAGTTGGGAGACGCTAATTTAGAGTATCATACATCTATGCTGTGATGTCCCCCTCCTCATAAGCAGCAGCTAGACCACACTGGTTGTACCTCCGGACTCAGAGTCAGAGGATAGTCACCCCAGCCTGTCTGATAACTGTGTGACCTCAGGAAAGTCAGTTAACCTCTCTGTTTTCCCAACTGCGAAATAGGGCTAGTGACATGCCCCTTAAAAAGTAAGGCGCTGATTCGCTGGTGGATAAAAAGCTCTTTCTAAGCTATGAAGGACTTTGGAGAGTATTGTTCTTCTCACAGGTCAGTGCCTGGAATGCTCAGGTTAGCTTGTCTCCTGGGGTGCCTCCTCCCGCCGGATGGTTAGTTCTAAAGGACAGTGGACAAAAGCCCTCAACTTCTTGGAATCAAAGTAAATTAATCACTGGGATTAACTGCAGAAGCTTGAATTCCCCTGCAGGAAGGAGGCCCAGAACTTTCAGCTGGGGAATTTTGCTGGCCTTTGACAAAACTGAGGAGGAGGGAAGCCTGTGGCCAGTATTCACTGCCTCCTTCCCTGAGTGCTCTGCCTGATACCCCGAGGCCACCACTCACCTCCAGGACTCCAGTCACCCAACACTGGTGGCTAGGACCCCTCCCTTAGCCAGTCTTACAAAGCCAGGTCTGACTACTCCTTCCCCTAAATAGTGCAGTGGAAAGGAACACAGGCTCTGGAACCATATGAACGTGGCTTTGGATTAGCCCGACCACTCACCAGGTCCACAGTCATGGAGGCCAAGTTGTCACTTTTGGAGCTGGTTTCCCCACGTGGAGAATGGGCTGCAACTTCCTTCCTTCCATGATTAAGAGAATGATACACCAGCACTTTGCAGACTTTAACCTGCCCAGGAGTCACCTGAAGGTCTTGTTAAAATGCAGGCTGCTCTCAGACCATAGGGCTTGGTGGGGCCTGGGACTCTGCGTGTACAGCAAGCTCCCAGCCAGTGCGATTGCACGGTTGAATAGCAATACCCCATATCAGGTGTGTGAGGGACCTGGCGCATGGTAAGTACTCAGTCAACAGAATCTGCCGCCTGAAAGTTTTCTTTCCCCCAGCCAAAAGGTTCTCCTTTGAAAACAGGAATGGATGGAAAGATAAAGCTCTGCCCACCTCAGAATTCTCAGGGAAACAAGAAAAAACAAGTTTGGCTTTCAAGATGGGCTGGGTGTGGGGAGTGAGAATGGTGTGCCCTCCGTGGCAACTCCCTGGCTCAGTGGCTGCTCCGTGCACATGGGTGCCGCAGGTGGCCTCTGCCCTGTGTGCTTAAACCTCTAGGGCTCAGGCCCCAACTTGCCGTGCTGTGAACACATCCTCAGAACCGGGCACATGCCTTTTTCTTCCAGCTACAGCTCTCCCGAGGAATTTTCAAAGCACACGGGGTTCGCTTGGCAGGAGTCTCCCAGGATATAAATACGCTTTGGGGGCTTTTGTTTTAAGGACTGCAGTATCTTTTCGACTTGAGGCCTGAGCACAGAGCTTTCCCCCTTCGCCCTCACCAAAATGCAACCATGAAGGGCCGCTGCCAGGAAGACTCAAAGAGGCTCTGAGTGAGGTTAAAGAGAGGCCTCCTGCACCCCTTCACCCGCCGATTTTGCCTTTCACTTCGCTCTTCTAGAAAGCCTGCTTCTCCACAAGCTGCTGACTCATCCAGGGCTAGGGTCTTTTTTTTCTTTTTTTCTTTCTCAGAATCACCACAAAGCCCAGAGATTTTGAGGTTGGTTTAATGAGCGGCTCAGTCCTCACCATTTCCTTTTCATTCATCTTCCCCACCTCCATCCCAGTCCCCCATTGACTCCATCCTGCTAGAAAAGAGATGGACACCCAATTGCTCTGCCCTGCTTTTGATAGTGAGTTTCTGTCCCCTGTAGGTCTGGACGTACCGACTGCTCTTGGAGTAAAAAGATTCCCAGGATGTGAGCACCACGGGACCGGTGAGTACTGTCGCGTTTGGCAGTCGTGGGGCCTAGGCTGGATTTCAACCAGGGGAAGGAGAGGGATGGGAGGGGCAGGGGCAGCTGAGCTCTGGCAGCTCTGAAACTGTATTTCCATGCACATGTACCTGGAAACAGCACAGAGCCGAGAATCTAGGTGTGAGTCCCTTGGAATCCGCTGGGTTCCTGCCAATCCCTCCCCAGGAGCGCTGGAGCCTGCAGGTAGCTGGGCTGTCCTCCCTCTGCTCTGATGACGGCAGCCCAAACTCACCATCCAGAGGGCATGTGCTCAGAAGTGTTTCCAGCAAACCTCTAGCCAGGGCTAGGGAAATAGTCTTAGAACAGAGAGGGAGCTACCTGGCTTACACCAGCTGGGAAACCATGGCCCTGAAGAGACAGTGCTAAAGTGAGGCAGGAAAGCCACCTTTGCACATTTGAAGGACTGTCATGAGCAGGACAGAAGTGGGCAGCTGTTGACTCCACCTAAGGAAACATTCCTAACAGAAGAGCTATGCGAGAGTGCAATAGGAAACCTGGGGAGTACAGTGAGTTCCCTGTCGCTGGCAGAATTCAAGCAGAGGCTGGAGAAATGTCGGTGGGACATGTCAAAGGGGAGAGTGCAATGTTTACAGACCCTGTTCCCTGGTGATCGAGAATGCTGTGAGGGACAGGCAGTGGGAGGAGGGAGAGGGTGTAAGGAAAGTCTGAATGAGGGAAGCTTTTGAACTCGTGCCTGCAAATGCTCAGTACTGCCTCCGTTTTAGGTGCAGGTTCTGCTATAAAACTGTTTGGAAGCCACCAGATGAGATGACCCTCGGGTCTCTCCTCCGTTGTTGCCCATTGGCTGGCTGTACCTGAGCTAATGCCAGACAACGCACATATCATAGGCATGAACCCAAACACCTGCTGTATGTGGTGCGGGGGCAACTCTCAAAGCATGACTGTTGCGGGAGCCTCTCTCATGCCCAACCACCAGAAGAGTTTCTGGCGAGTCATACCATCAAGGGACTCGGCCCAAGATCCAGACCACATAGACAAGAGGAAAAGGCACGGGGGAACAGGTGGCAAGACCCACCCACCCCCTACTCCCCAGGGCCCCAGAGAAGGCAAAAGTGGGTGTGGCCCAGGCAGGTGGCTTGGCCTCACCTGGAACCATGGGCCCTTGGGCAGGGGCAGTACCACATGCTCCAGTGGCCAAAACCTGGCCCACTGAGCGTGAGAAAAATTGCACTCCAGACACAAATGGGGAAGTTACGCAGGAGGGACACCCATTGCGCTTGGGAGGGTCTGAATAATGAGCACGCGGGTTCCTTTGTGCTTTGTAACTGGGTCTTCTTCCCCTGGGGTCTGGGTCAGCTGCAACAGTAAATATTTATCAAGGGCCCCTGAGGGCAGGGCTCTGTGGGAGGCCAGAGATGGTGTTTTTCTTTAAGAAACTGACAGCCTGGATGAGAATCGAGTTTGACAGTGGTTGTGCACAGGCTGTATATTCAGCTGAGCTCTGTTTGCTGTCGGGGGGCCGGGGAAAGGAGGGAGAGGAGAGGACTGAACTGTGACTTGGCACGTTCTTGGCAAGTCTTTAAGCAGGAGTTGAGTTTTAAGGACAGGTGCTGTGTGCTTCCATTCACAGAACCTGGCATGTAGTAGGTGCTCAGTAAATGACTGTCAAATATAGTGATGAGGAGGCAGCCCAAGGAGGCGATGTCTGTGGTTCAGAGCATGGCCCCTGGAGTCAGAATGCCAGGTTCCCATCCCAGCCCTTCCACTAGCTGTGGGGCCTCATGCGTCAGTCTCCTCCGAAGATGGGGATAGTGACAGTTCCTACCTCATAGAGTGGTTGGGAGGATTTAATGAGTTAATTCACATGAAGCTGTCAGGCTCTCATGCTGGGACATAATAAATCTCAATAAATATTAGTCTTTATTCTTATTCTAGCCGTGAACCCAGGTTAAGGCCAAATAATGGGACAGGAAAAAGCAGTGTAGGTTGGAGGACAGAGCACTGGGCTGGGAGTCAGAAGCCCTGTCATAGCTGTAGGGCAGGGTCGAGGAAGCAATCCCTCCCGGTTTGTACATCCTCTAAGCTGAAGATGCTGTGGAAGGCTGTCAGGGTGGCACTGTTTTTCCTCCTGGCTCCCTCTGGTCCCTCCTGGTTGAAAGCAGAGGCGGCTCTGCTATTTATTCCTAGCTGTGGGCCTCCTGGAGAGTGGTGTGACCTCTCAGAACACCCCTTTTTCCCAATGAATGGGGACACCCTTACTATCCTTCTTCCCTCCGAGAAGTAGTCGTGAAGACTGAGAAACACCAGCACAAAAGAAAGATTCCATTGATACAGATGGAGAATCATTTAAGATCCCAGCTTGGGTAGTGTGGTCTCAAGTCCCACAGTTCCCTGTTCCTTCCCCAGTGAGGTCTGGCTGTCTCCATGGCTGGAAGACAAACAGCGTGTCGCCAGATTCCCATAGTGATGATTCACTTTGCAAAAGGCACTCCCCACCACCCCAGGAATTGGAGCATATTTCAGATGAAAATTGCATTCGCCTGAAACACTTGTCAGGGTTACATTTCTTACGTGAGTGGCAGACCTGGAGTTACAGAATGAGCTTGCTTAGTGGCCTGCCTTTGGCTCCCTCACCCCATCTCACCCAGACCCTAGTGGATAGCAGGATTGTAATGTAAGCCAAAATTGTATATGACACAAACACAGCCCCTGAGACTAGAGGATCTAAAACTATTCTAGATTCCTTTGCCCATCAACCCCCCTGACATCTGCCAGGTGGCCATAGCCTCACTTCCAACTTGGGTGGGAAGACGGATGGCATGAGGGGATCAATTGGTCATGGCTGCCAGGGGCACTATGCTGAGAAGGGTGTCGAGGCATATCCAGGAAAGAGTATGCTGCAGTGGATTACTGACGTCTGCTGAGGAGGCAAGAAGAATGATAGCATTCCTGCCACTTTTTGGCATCCCCAGACAAAACAATTTATTTTTTATTTTTGAGATTGAGTCTCACTCTGCCACCCAGGCTGGAGTGCGGTGGCACGATCTCAGCTCACTACAACCTCCACCTCCTGGGCTTAAACAATTCTCCTGCCTCAGCTTCCCAAGTAGGTGGGATTACAGGTGCCTGCCACTATGCCCAGCTATTTTTTTTTTTTTTTTGTATTTTTAGTTAGAGACAGGGTTTCACCATGTTGGCCAGGTTGGTCTCGAACCCCTGGACCTCAAGTGATCCGTCCACCTCAGCCTCCCAAGGTGCTGAGGTTACAGGCATGAGCCATCGCACCCAGCCCCTAGACAAAACAATTTCTAAGTCTACCTTCCTGCATCATACTTTGTGGTATTATATCAGCAACCTTGTTTTATATCAGAGGGACAAGGTATAGGCAAACCTCATTAATCTGGACCACTTTGGGAGCAACCCAAGTGAGTGAAAAATCTTCAGCCCAGGGTGTTTCCTGCAGACAGGTGAGCCTTCTTACCTTTCAGTCCACAGACTCAGCTCAGCCTAGCTAACCAACTGGTGCTAATGCAGGAGCCACAGAACCTGTGCTTAGCAGGTCTGACGACATGGCTGAATGCACCTGACCTGTACTTTTAGGCCACTTACTGTCTTTGCATGCTTAGGAATTAATACAACTGAAACTCTAACAAAAACAGTGTGTTTTTTGAAGTAGAAAATCATTCAATGGGCAGCTTTGCTTCTATTTCAAATTGCCAGGGAATATGAATTAGAGAAACTTTGTACTAGCTGGGAATAAGCTGTTTTTCCAGAGTTATATGCAGAAAATGAGACAAAATAGTCCAGAACTAGGTTTCCCCTGAGTTTCCTGATCTGTAAAATGGGGGAAATAATACATCTCACAGGGTTCTTTGGGAGAGTAGATGAGAGAAGATGCGGAAGAGACGTAGCATGCAGCCTCGCTCACAAAAGATCGTCAAGAAACGCTGTTTCTTTTCCCCCGTACCACCTCCCATCTATCTTCACACTGAAAGCATAGCTTTTTTTCTTGCAATATGTTCAAGAAATGATGTTACAGATAGATTTTTTTAAAATAGCATCATACTTTTCAAATGACTCCTGTTAGTTTTTCAGAGGCTCTTCCTTTTTATTGCTGATGATCCTTCAATGGGAAATGTCCACTGAATTCTTCACCTTGAGTTCCTCTGCTCTAGTCTTCAGGGTGGAATAGCTCCAAGGGTCCTGACATGCATGTGGACGAATGTCTTTGTAACATGATTGAGCCTTTTAGAGGGTTTTTGTAGTAGAGACTGAGTCATACGGTGATTTGGCTATTCCACATCTTTCCTTCAACACAGCAAGTGTCCACACCTGAATTCCACTTCCATTGTTGGGAGAGTCAGGACAAGAAGGGTGACCTAATGCCAGACTGACACCAACCATGTGTCAGGAGGATAGGCTTTACTTGTTAATAACGGGTAGTAAGTTTGCAATGAAAATCTTTCATCGTTAGTCTCTGAGAATCTTCGGGAGAAATATTAAGTTTCCACTTAAAAAAAAAAAATCAAGGCTGGGCACAGTGGCTCACACCTGCAATCTCAGCACTTTGGGAGGCTGAGGCGGGAAGATCGCCTGAGCCCAAGAGTTCGAGACCAGCCTGGGCAGCATAAGGAGATCCTGTCTCCACAAAATATGCTTTAAAAATTAGCCAAACATGGCGGGGCCTGCCTGTGGTCCCAGCTACTCAGGAGGCTGAGGCAGGAGGATCGCATGAAACCAAAAGATCAAGGTTGCCGTGAGCTACAGTCACACCATGGCACTTCAGCATGGGCAACAGAGTGAGACCCTATATTGAAAAAAAGAAAAATCAAGACTAATGAAATTTATGTGAAGCAGGGAGAGGGACCTGCATGACTGGAGGGGCAGCAGCCCTGATCACAGAAGCTGAGACTCATTAGGACTCCTGGGTTACTGACTGAGAGCTGGGACTTTAAGGCAGACAACAGACAAGTGCACCTTTATTCAGCCCCCAATCCTCT